GAAGTAAGAGCTATTAGTGAAGGAAGAGACTACAACACCTTGACATATGATACACTAAGGGGAAAGCTACTCACCTATGAGACATCTACTCTTTATCCTCCGGTTGATAGCAAGCAAAGGAAATCTATTGCACTAAAATCTACCAAGGAGATTGAGGAAGTGAGCCATGATGAAGACTCAAGTGATACAGAAGAGAATCCCGAACTTGCACTTGTTATCAAACGCTTCAACAAGTTTGTCAAGAAGAATTTCAAGCCAAGAAAGGACAACTCCAAGAAGTCCACACCACCCAAATGCTATGAATGCGGTGAAGTGGGACATATCAAGCCGTATTGTCCTAAGTTGAAACAAGAGAAGGACAAGAAGTTCAAGAAGAAGCAAAAGGCCTATATTTCATGGGACAATAGCGGTACATCTTCCGAAGCTAGCAATGATGAAGAAGAAACGGCAAACTTATGTCTTATGGCACTTGAGGATGAGGTATCATCTAGTTCTTATTCTACTCCTTTATCTACTTCTGATGATTGTTTTTCATTGGATGAGTTACATAGTGCATTTAGTGATCTTTATGGTGAATTTATCAATTCCACCAAAGAAGCTAAATTTGCCAAGGAAAATGTCACCTCTCTTGAAGCTAAAATAACCGAACTTAATAAAGAGATGGAATTATTAAAATTGGAGAATAAGAAACTTGGCAAAGTTAGTGTTGATTCACCTTGTGCACAATGTAAAATTCATGAAAAGGAAATAGCTAGCTTGCATGAGCATCTAGGAAAATATAATAAAGCTAGTAAAGACATGCACTTTATAGTTCAACAAGGTCAATTTAATAAAAATGGCTTAGGTTATCAATCTAAAGGACCAAAGAAAGTTAACTTTGTAAAAGAAGGAGAAAGACCTTTGGATAGAACTAAGGCTAGGAATATTTCATACCAAAAATATAATAGTAACTCTAAGATGACTCAATCTAGAATAGTCAATACCCCCACTAATTATAGGATGAGAAAATCTAGTCAATATAGGAATTATGGTGTTCATAGGTTTTCTAGAGAACCTAGAAATTATGAGAATTTTAGGAATGCACCTAGAAAATCTAATTATCTTAGGACACATAGAAAGTCACCTAGTCCATATAGATATATGTATGATCCTAGGGTTATTTGCCATTTTTGTGATGTTGTTGGGCACATTGCACCTGTATGTTTTAGAAAACTTAGAATGATGGCTAAGAATAGAAAAAGGGCACAGACTGATGTTTATAATGCTAGAACTAACTCTCAAGGACCCAAGATGGTTTGGGTACCTAAAACCCCCAATTAAATAAATATTTCAGGTGTGCTTGAAGGCATCAAGCGTACTTTGGTACCTTGATAGCAGATGCTCCAAGCACATGACTGGAGATGCATCCAAATTTATTTTTCTTAAATCTCTCGATGGTGGGAATGTTATTTTTGGTGACAACAACAAAGGAAAGATTATCGGAACCGGAACTGTTGGCAAAGACAAAGAATCTGGAATTGATAACGTGTTGTTGGTCAAAGGTCTCAAGCATAATTTGCTTAGTATTAGTCAGTTATGTGACAAAGGTAATCGTGTCACTTT